AACCTTTAAGTCCCTGCTGGTAAAACTTAAATTGGTCTGGCTGCAAAGAGGTATTGGGATCCCTTGTGTGAGGCCAAATTGCCTAGCAAATTGAGCAGGACAATAGGGCTCAGCAATGCACTTGTAAGCTCTGGGGTTCATAGTCCCAATGAATAACTCTCTAGGGATCAAAATAGAGGCCCATATGTTCTTGTGTTGGGGTGAAGAGCAGAACCTATCACTTAGAAAGGTTTTCAACCAAGATGGGCCAATGGTAGTAGGTTCGAAGGGACGGAAGTTATGGGAAGGAAAAGAAGCTGGAAGTTGGTGAAAGAAAGAGAAGTAAAAAGCAAAGGTAGAAAGATAGAGTAAAATGCTGGGTAGCCTCATGCCATGAGTAGCAGGATTTGGCTAAAAGAACTTAAGGGATTTGGATTGTAATTCAATAAAATATGCAAAAAGCCAAAGCTGAAGTATCCAAAATGGACCTCCTTGATTGGCATCCAAAGGTTTCTCACAAAAAAGAGAACAAGCTCTGTATACGTGACCTAGAACGTATGGAGCTAAGGCCATTTTTTTCTGTAAAACAAGGGTTTTGGCAAATGGGACGAATTCAGGCATGATTCTTTTAGAAGATGTGCAGAAAAGGAATTTGCAAAGCCAATACAATATGAAACAAAAGAATTCCCTATCAGTTACAGAGCCCTCCCTTTTATTCTCAGCCTTGACAAAGTCACTATAGGATCAGTTAAGAGAGGGGAGGGAAAAAGGGGTTGGTAGGTCAGAGTAATCTGGTCCAAAGGGGGTTCCAATGGGAGACAATCCTAATAGATGGCAGATATCAAGAACAGTAGGGGTCATCATCCCACATCTGAATTAAAAGAAATTAAAGGTAGAATTCCAAAAGCAAAGGGCAGCAGGTATTAAGAAAGGGTCCTCTGAGATAGTGAACTTGGATAATTGGAGGGCATCGAAAAGGCAAAGCTCTTGGAGGTCCAAAGTCCTATCAGGGACAACCCGATCATGCCATTCTTGCCACTCTGGTCTCACCGTGGGCCAGCAGCGACGGGTGCAGTTCATCCTCCAGTTTCTCCAGTCAAGACCACCTTCGTAAAGGAGACAATGATCTTCTAGACGTGGATATAGAGCTGGAAGCTCAATAGGAATCTCTTTGAAGATGGGCCCAAGCACATACTCTTGCTGCTTATGACGGCGGGGAATGAAGATACGTCCGTCAATGGCGCTTTTCTCACCGGCCTTATACTTCTCACACTCTTCGGCAATAATCCTTTTCAAGGTCACAGACGGACTCGCACGCTCCATAACCGGTATTTTCAGAGGAGAAGAAGCCATTGATAAAAGAATTTTCTCAGAAGATAAAGTCGGGAGAGAGTAGGAGGAAAAGGAATGTCAGTAGAGACGAAGGGTTTATGTGATAGGCAAATGGGTGAATTCAAAGCACGAAATAAAAAGGGTTCTAAAACCTTTGCGTCTAGAAAATATATCGTGGAATTCGTAAAGAAGTACTGAAAGCACGGATACGAAAAGTTTCCCTCAATATTGATAATTTCTAGAGGGAAACACATCTCAAATACTAATGTCAGCTTCGAAATAAAATATATGGCTTTGAAGCCAATTTTTGGCGCCAAAATGAAATGACAAACGGCTTCGAATGTCGAATGTCGAAAGCTTACTTCGAAGCACATTCCATGCCTCACGGTGAAAAAGTGTTTAGATATCTGTTTACTTCAAAAGGATTAAGAGCCTGTTTTATGGTTTCTTAGTGAGAATAAATCCTTCAAAGCAAAACTTGAGATCCCTTAAGGATGGAAATTGTTGTTCGAAGTATCAAAACCAACAATTGGTTTGATAATATCCAGGAGAGATTGTTTTTTCGGATTAAAACAGTGCAACCCTTAAAGGGGGTTTCCACATTTTTAAAAGTATAGACTGTTGTTTGAAGCAAAAATGGTCAATTTAAAACTGGTTGATCGTACTAACCATATGACCATATGTTGGATATGATTAAAACAAGTTTTAAGGGGCAAGATTGTTAATTCGAAGCACTGATTCTAAATAGAAATCAGCAAAAAATTGTCAACTGTATTCCATGAATTGGAAAAATTCGTGTTGGTTTTTCAGTGTTTCATTTGAGATGATTGAATCCAGATTCGAAGGATGAGATTGTGGAGTTCGAAGCCCTAAATTTTCTTATAAAGACAAACAGAGATAAAGTCAAACCATGCCAAACAAAGAGAAAAGTCTTAGCTATATTGAAACAAAAGCAATTACATCAAAAGGCCCTCTTTGGGTACAAATTCGAGTTCATGAAAGTAAGGAATAGAATAAATAACAAGATCATGAAATTTAGTCCAGCTATGGTCAATAAATTTATGTTCATTTTTTATTCTATCCTCTATTTTCTTCAGGCTTGGCTGCTGAAGTTGATGTGCTCTTACTTGATAAAAGAGTTCTTCAACCTTTATTTCGAACGCTGTTTCTTTTAAACCTTATTCCAGCTCGTCTATATCCAAGTCATCCCAGTACGTAGAGTCTTTATTCTTGAAGTCATCGTATTCTTCGATGAGGTTCTCTGTTTCGTACTGGGTATGAACTCGGAGAGATGAAAGTTGGTTCAAAGATTGGGTGGTGGCCACAGAAGTCCGTTGCCAATGGAGAATACGAGAGTTGGTCCAAAAACATTTGGAGTTCTGCTTGGACGATGGGGTTGAAGACGTGACCCCGAGTCATAATATCACAAGCCCATTGAAGGTTCTTGAGAAGAACATCGTCTTCAAGAACATTGAAAGGCAAGTGAGAAAAGGCCGCAAGCAGAAGTTGGGCTTGCTTTCGCTGAGCTGGAGTAGGGGAAGGTGGAGGCTTATAAGGAGGAAAAACCTTGTCCGCAAATAGGGTAAGCCTCAGTCTCTCTGTCCAGCAGGGATTTTGCAGAGGAGAAGGTATAGAGGCTTTCATTTCGAAAGAAGGAGGAAACTGAGGGCATTAACACAATCAAGCCAGTCAGAAGAGCAAAGCCTCGCCTTCTAGGCTAAGAACGATGGGCTATACCCTTGTGCCTCTTCTGGGCGTCGAGTAGCTTGTACTATCTTTGTAGGCATGGAAGATGTGTACCATGCTACAAGCAGATTGTTCTCTAAACTGCGTCGGCAGTCGATGGACACGTAAGGATAAACCACCGAACTTCGAGCATCAGAAGGGAATTCTAGAGGATCAGTGAACTCGACAAAGTGGTGATTAACTCACTCCCTTAACTCACATGCCTTAGATTCTGACCAGCTTCTCCAACCAGAAGCCCCAGAGGAAAAAGAAGCCACAGCCTCATCCCATGCAGAAGATTGTGGATTAGAAGAAGAACTTCCCATGTCCATATTTGCAAATTTCTGAATCAAAGGATTGTGGAAAGTGTGTTCGTAGTCCAAGGGTTGATAATTTGCAAAAGCTTCCACGACTTGAATATAGAAAGGTGCGTAAAGGTGGTTAATCAATGCATAAAGATTCTTTCGAGGACGAACGGTATTATCAAACAACTCTTTATATGCTTGATCGAGATAAGAAAATGTCTGTTTATCCATTGAATTGGACTTTTCGAATACTGATATAGTGAGCTTGTGTAAGGGATCAAAGAGGAGTTAATGCAAATGTTCATCAGTGAATGACGGTTGTGTTTCTAAAAATGCAAAGCCCATGCACGTTCTAAAACGTGGATAAAAGACCTTGATCCACTAATATCACTAAGTACTGGGTATATTAATGCGGGGAGTAATGTTGGCTACATATTTTGTATAAGCCAATTACACTTCAACACGTGGCAGGTTGAGGGTAATACGGGAAGACAACTCAAACCTTCGATCGTGATCGTACACGTGACAATTAATATTGGTTTTTCATAAGATCTGCGTAGTACTGGATCAGCAAAAAGATACAAAGTGATGCGACTTCAACGGTTACTCACATTTAATTCAAAAATCAGGAGGAAAGCCTAACTGCAGGTATTGGCATAGTGGAGCTAACTATAAAGCAACATGATCAGCGATCATAAAGGAGCAGTTCGACGGTTAGAAGTGCAGTTCGATGGTTCTCCTTAAGAAGTATGAATAGCAGAGAAGGCCCCAGAAAAAGCCCCAGACTCAGATCCAGAAAACCAGTTTTATTCTACTTTATTTCTTTTCCAGTTTTTACATTTCTTGTTCTTTACATTTCTGTACTTCAAATTCTTATACCACATTTCGTTCCTAGGAGTAGTTTCAAGTAGATTGTTGCTGTAAAACTCTACGAGGCTGAATTGGATCATTATAAGTCTTTTGTTTTACTTAATGAAATACTGCAATTGTTCTTCATTTAATCATTGTTAATTATTCCTCTTAAGCAAAGTCACCAGTAAAAGTCCTCTTCATTGAGGCTGAAAGAACTAAAATACAATCGTCTGATAATTGGTTGGCAATTAAATTTCTGTAAGGACTGATTGATCCTTGCTGGCACGCTCAAAATTACTGTAATAACCTTCGAAAGCCAAAAAGCCAACAATTACAAACAACAATAATAAACCAAGAAGACACAAGTTTTAGCCATCCACGTTGGGTACATATCCGACATGCTTATCTACTGCACTGGTTAAATGCCACAACAAAGGATCTACAACTTTCCAACTAAATCAACCATTTTCAGAATACTGTGAACTTATTTCCAACCAAATCAACCATTTTCAGATTGGCCCTGTTTGGTGCAGCTTAAAAGCTGCTTATTTCAGCTTTCAGCTTAATTTAAGCTATTTTGATGTATTTGGTTTAGCTTATAGCTTATAACTTATAGCTTTTTGGAAGTCAGAAATCAACTTATTCTTTGAGTGGAGCTGGAGATACTTAATTTATAAGTCAGAAATCAGCTTATGTTCATAGTTATAAGCTATAAGTTGTTTAAGCATAAGCTATAAGCACTTTCCCACAGCTCTACCAAACAGGGTCATTACTGTGAACTTGTTATGCGTCATAACTTTTCAAATATCTAAAAAGATTCTCCTTTTTTTGTGAGTTTTCATAAATATAAAAAAATTCATTACATCTCAGAAAATACATATACATCAAAGACTCTCATCCAAACCAGGTATTATTACGAAATCCTACTAATGTAAAAAGAGAAGAATGAGTACCTCCTGTAAAATTTCATTTGTAACACCTTACCATCACACACCAAGGAGCCATTATTTCCCCTTAGAACACCAAGACTTCAGATTCAATTGCATAAGCGTGTTAGCTGAACAATCAGCAATTCATTGGCTAAACATATCTTTCCGAGAATCATTGTTCAAAATTGGACATTTCCCCTGGACTGCTTGAAGCAACTGTAAAATAGGCTCTGGTTTTGATGAAGATGAAAGTGATGCTAAAAGTTCACTACATATTGCTTGCAACATTATAGCTGAATTCTCTCTGACCAATTTTATGTGTTCAATGGCAACTGGGATCTCCGCAGCCTCAAGTAAGCATTGCAGCAAAATCACATGAGAGGCTGACTGTCCAATATCAGAAGTGAGGCCACAAAGCAAACCAGAAGTGACATGAAAATGACCTGCAAGGGTCATATTGAAACAAAAAATTTGAGAGCATATTTGATAAGCCTGCATGAGTATGACAAGACATATAAGTAGTGTCAATCAAATATATTCATGGATTAAGAGCAAACCTTCTTTGCAAAGATAAAGGATAAATGTACTCAATATGCTTCGTGCTAGCAGAGCATCCTGTTCAACAGATTTGTTGAAGACTTTGAGAGCATCTTCAATCTTCTTTTCTTTACAAAGCCCTTCAAGGAGGGATGTGTACGTCATAGCATCAGGTACTACCCCTTTCTCCAACATATGACAAAAGAGCCTCTGAGCCTCTTCAACCTGGCCTGTCTCAGAAAACTTCCTGATAAGGACATTATAAGTCTTCAAATTTCCACCACACCCACTTGCAAACATCTCATCCCATAGCCTTTTGGCGGGACGAAGTAGGTCTTCTTTACAGCATGCTTCCATAAGATAATTGTAGAAAGCTACATCCGGGCACAACCCTTTCTTCTTCATCTCCTGAAGAACATCATAAGCTTCTTTCACCCTCCCAGCCTGGCACAAAAATGAAACAATCACATTGTAACTCCCCATATCTGAGAAGTACTCCTTGATGGATAAAATCTGGAAAACCTCCAAGAGTTCATCAACTTTTCTGTGCTTGCAGAGGTTCCTACTGAAATTGCTCAGGGTAAGAAGAGTTGGAAATCTCTCCTTTCCAACCATAAACTCGAAAAACAACATAGCAGAAGAGGGATAAATGATTGATATTGAGCCTATCAAAGCATTGAGCACATCATCCTCAATTGGGAAATTTCCATTCACAATAACTTCACCCAATTCTTTTGCTTCCCAAATCCGTCTCTCAGAAATCAAAACAAATATAAATTCTCGGTAATCATTAGCCCTTGGTGCTACCCCCAGCTTTCTCTTCTTCTTCAAGACCAACTCTACATCAACAACACTTCCAGTCAACCGAAGTGCTTCAGCAACAATCCTATAGGCCATAAAATCAGGTTTACAGTCCCTTTTCCTCAACTCATCCAATACCCAGGAAGCATCTGCCACCCTAGACTCCAAACAAAGTCCATGAACGATCAAAACAGCTATTATTGACCCATTAATCCGCCAAACACCTTTCCTAACCTCATCTAGCAAACTTAGAGTATCGCCCACTTCAGCATTTCTACAAAACCTCCATATAAACACACCAAAACCAAGTGTACTCATACTAACACCTCTTAGAATCATTTCATCGAACAAGTTGCGGGCATAACCAATATATCCATCAGAAGACACAGCAGCTAGAAGTGAATTACTTATACCGGGTCCAACATCACAATTTAGAGAAGTAACTTCATTGAATATCGAAAAAGCATTTCGGGTTTTCTTCCCTATAATTTGTGACGAAATAATCGAGCGATATACTGAAGGATCAAGATCGATCTTTTGGGCACGGACTTGCTTCAAGAGCTTGTCTACGGCATTGAAATGGCCGGAAATAGAGAGTGATTTGAGTATGGCTTGGTAGGTAATTGAGGTGTGAGAGAAGCCTGGTTGTTGAGAGACCCAGTTGAAGAAACCCAGAGCCAGAGAGTGGTGGTTGAGGAGAAAGGGGTCGATGACTCGGGCGACGATTGGTGGCGTCAGCGAGTCACGACAACCGAGTCCGTGGAGGGTTTGCTCGAGCGAAGGAGTCCATGTCCGGTTCGGGATTGAGCGTTTTGATGCCGAGATTAGTGCTCGGCTTATCAGAGTCGCAACCGAAGACTTCATATATATATATATATTTTGGGACCATATTGTTTGGGACCATCTCTTGAATAGCAGGAGCGATATTGTTTGGGACCATATTGTTTGGGACCATCTCTTGAATAGCAGGAGCGATATTGTTTGGGACCATATTGTTTGGGACCATCTCTTGAATAGCAGGAGCGATATTGTTTGGGACCATCTCTTGAATGCCTCACCGGTTGTTGATTTTGTTGCGGATCTTGGGCATACCAGGGGACACTCACAAGCAAAAACACAAGACTTTTAACGTGGTTCGGCAAACCGGCCTACGTCCACGAGAGCGATGTTATATATCAACAAATGGAGGAGATTACACACTCTCAACTCACTGTTTCTCTATATGACACACTCTCTCACACTCTCTGATACACAAACAGAATATAGCTCTCACTATCTCTCTCTGTTTTGTGCCTCTCTCTCAGCAGTGTGTTTCTCTCTTGCTTGCTATGTTTGCCTTGTGTTCAACTCACCATCACCATTCCATTTTATACACCAAAACAGAAGGTGGAGGAGGCCTCATGGGTGTGTTGGCTGCCAGCCCAATATTCTCCTTTGAGCTGCTGTCCAGTTGAAAGCTTTGTCCCACCATGTGAAGACTTCACATGGCCAACTCCATGCTTTCTCCTTTGTTGCTGGCGCATGGCAAGCCTCATGGCTGCCAACTCAAGCCTCATGACTTGCCAACTCATGCCAACCTCTTTTGCCTTCCTTTTACCATGTGGGTTGGCCACCCTTCCATGTGGCTGCCAACTCAATTTGGGTTGATCTCCTACAAACCCCTAAGAAGTATTAACATGTCTAACAATGACAATGAAATAGAAACATTATCTGAAGACTGAGGGGGCATGTCTCTGGGCCTTGTGATCTAGTCTTTGTTTATTATGGAAAATTCAATTTCCACACTGTTTTGTCTCTGTGTACACAATTAATGGGGAAAAAAAATTATGATAATTTTATCATGAAGCAAACTGACGATAATGGACATCAATACACACTACAAATTAAATCTAGATTTTCTCTATACATATCTTTAAAAAACAATAATTCTCAATGCACAACTTTAAAAAAAAAACAAAAAAAGAACAAAAATTAAAACTTAGTTCCTACATTGTTTCTCACTACCTCTATTGTTTTCCATTACTTGCTACACTCCATTGTTACACTTTATCCATTGCTTGCATAAACTACTCTGATATCAAGTACTGAAAAATTGTAAAACATTCGGCGCTACAGAACCGATTTAATTTAAAAAATTCAAAAATTAAGTATCAAAAATTTTGTAAATAATTCGGAAGTATATAATTGAAAATGTACAATAATTTCGGAATATTTTTTCTGATTGGTGAGTGACTTCTTGTTTCTGAATATTTTTTCTAATTGATCTTTCAGTTCATTCATGTTTCAATGGCTGCCAACAACCCCTCTGCCCTAGAAAAAGAACAGATACTTCATACATATACAGACACTAGCACTATATATGTATGCTTATGAGATAGGGAAAGCTATTAACTGGAAAATTCTACTGAGATACTTCATACATATTCACTTTGCTTGGTTACCGGTTTTTCAAAACATTTTTCAAAAAATTTTACTTTCTTATTTTTCGTGTTTTTTTGTTTTTACTAAATTTTTTTAATATTTTAAGTAATTTTTTTACTTTTTAAACACACCTAACATAAATACACCTAAAAAGTAAAAAAAATACAAAAAAAAATCTTTTAAAAATTTACTAAATACCAAAAATATAAAAAAAATACAAGAATTCAATACATTTTTTGTATTTCTATGTATTTATTAATTTTTTAAAATATTTTTTCACAAATTTTTTATTTTTAGATACCCTAACTAAGGTGCATCTAAAAAAGTAAAAAAAAATGTTTAAAATTTAAAAAATATTCACTAAAAACAAAAGAATACAAAAATCAAAAAACTCTGTTTTCAAAAAACTTAATCCAGAAAATTCAAACCAAACACACTTATTACTTTTTTTTTTTTGATGCTACCACCCCTTGGACCCCTCTCCTTTAATGAAGTTTGGATGATTCAAAATATTAATCATTGACAAACTAGATTATGTTACTTGGAATTTAGCAATGTGTAATGAAGTAATGATCTGAGAGATTCCAACATCAAAACCTTCGGCTTTATGAGTCTTTCATTAGCCTGAATGCCCTAATTATGAACTGTTGATTGGGGTACATTCTTTTAAGCTGTCATCCAGATGTCAAATTATAAAATCAGTTATGCCTCTTACATAGAAATAAAATCATAAAATTTTGATAAAAATGAATTAGGTAGAGGAAACAGAATGGTGATGAGAAGCCTCGTAGAAAATAAGAAGCAAATATGTATTAGAAAAACCCATATCAATTCAAAACTTTGTTGGAGATCATTAGAGGAATCTAGTTTTTTTGGCATTGAGATAGACTTATAGGCAGTTAATTGAAAGAGCACTTTTGCTTATGTATTCCTCTTTTCTATTCTTATCTGTATGTTAACTTTGATAAAAAAAATTACTTGGACCTTTTTTTTTCCCTCTTGTCTCTTAGTTTCATTCACTGTTTAAGCTGCATTGCAAATTGATTTATCGAAACACAAAAACATTGAGCTTGCAAATCAGGCAGTATGACAGTTGCACTCTGGTCAACGGCTCAGTCAATGGCTCAGTCAACGGCGCAGGGGCGCGGTCAACGGCGGCTCAGCGGCGCGGCTTGGCTGGCGGCGCGGCTCGGCCTGGTCAGCGGCGCGGTCAACGGCTCGACGGCTCGGCTCGGCTCAGGATGACGTCAGCCTGACGTCAGCTTCACGCGCGCCCCCACTCGTCTTCTTCCTTCGTCGGCGCGTGGGGCGCGTGGGTGCGAGTGGCCTTCACTCGCGATATTCAGGTGGCGCGTGGCGGCGCGTTAGACCTTCGATTGGCCTGTGGTTTGAAGTTTTGGACTCCTCTCCTCCTGACCTTCCTCCTGGTATGCTCAAAAGTGGATTTCGACCACTTCGAAATCTGGACACTTTCGGAAAAAACTCGATTTTTCTCCACCCGGGCTCTGATACCAATTGTTGCGGATCTTGGGCACACCAGGGACACTCACAAGCAAAAACACAAGACTTTTAACGTGGTTCGGCAAACCGGCCTACGTCCACGGGAGCGATGTTGTTATATATCAACAAATGGAGGAGATTACACATTCTCAACTCACTGTCTCTCTATATAACACACTCTCTCACACTCTCTGATACACAAACAGAATATAGCTCTCACTATCTCTCTCTGTTTTGTGCCTCTCTCTCAGCAGTGTGTTTCTCTCTTGTGCTATGTTTGCCGTGTATTCAACTCACCATCACCATTCCATTTTATACACCAAAACAGAAGGTGGAGGAGGCCTCATGGGTGTGTTGGCTGCCAGCCCAAAATTCTCCTTTGAGCTGCTGTCCAGTTGAAAGCTTTGTCCCACCATGTGAAGACTTCACATGGCCAACTCCATGCTTTCTCCTTTGTTGCTGGCGCATGGCAAGCCTCATGGCTGCCAACTCAAGCCTCATGACTTGCCAACTCATGCCAACCTCTTTTGCCTTCCTTTTACCATGTGGGTTGGCCACCCTTCCATGTGGCTGCCAACTCAATTTAGGTTGATCTCCTACAGATTTTTGGCTGCTTCAAAATCCTTTCTTTAATTGCAAACAACACTTCATTAATAACCAAGTGTAAACAAACATGTTATTTTAAACAAAATTTTCAATTATATTTTTCAAAATGTCTTTACTTTTGGGATTGTTGAGGTATTGTCTATGAATTATGAAGTATCTATAAAGTTAGCTGAAGGAAATTCACTTACCAAAACACACAGTTTTATATGCACATTTAAAATCAATATTTACACTAATACATCATAGACTTCAATTATCTGTACAATCTGTATATTACTTTACAACCCAAAATAAAATCACTCTGTACGCAGTTTATTCACTGGACACTAAGATAGATATACAGAGATAGACTAGGCCCGTCATTAATTTTTACAGTGCAGGGAAGTCTGTATTTATGGTGTTCTTCAATTTCTTTACAGTAATTTTCATTCTGACTAAACAGCTGACATATCTGCATGTGTTCTACTTCCACAAACTGTATATGCAGGAAAATATCAAGAGTAGGATCTGATCAGTTTGAAATTTTGGAATGTTCGCGCTTTGAACAAGTTCCCAAAGAGGAAGCTCATTGCTGTCTCTTCTTGAGGGGGTTTTGGTGAAGGTTTAACACGCAATATGGGCTGTCCAATATGTTGGCAAATGGAATCGATAGTCTTGGGGTCGACTGCATTCCCAGTCACATCCGTGACATAGAAAGTGTCTATGGCTTTCCCACCTTTTGTCGAAATTTCTGCTCTTTTTATGCACAAACTGTTCTCCCTGAATATCTTGGTAATGTCAGAGAGGAGTCCAACCCTGTCTTCTGTGCATAGTTCCAGCTCCAGTCCCTGCACGAAGAAGAATGTGCATTTAATTCAATCATCATTGCATAACTGAGGGCCTATTGGCTTAATAAATATAGTTGCTACACACCTCGGAGGCTCGTCTCTCAATGGCTGCTTCAAGACACTGCACAACGCGTTCTCGCTCAGCCTCAGAGCTTATAGGGAACCCATCAATGTGTCGGATATAGTATTCCTTCATCCAAACAACAAGTGTTGTCAAATTAAATGGCTAAGGTTACAATATTTAAGAAAAGTTTTTTTCCTCATAGATTGTCTATACCTGAAAGGCTTCCATCCTCCCCGTGTGAACTACACCGTGAAAGACTACATATTGCATGTCTGTTAAAGTGCACACAGTATCAAATAACAGCTTTGGCCGATCCTTCGATGTCATAGTAATCACTGTGTAATCCTTCTCAATACAATCCATCACAGTTACATGTGGTCTTAAACTCAGATCCCCAACTCTCCCATATTCAGCTCTTTCATAGTCCCGATCAGCCAACATAATTTGATGTAATCGTCTCTCCCTATGAGTAGCCCCTGGCGGCGAAAGCATCATTTTTGCAGTCTTCAAGTCATTGTTTCCTTTAAGAACATTGCAGAGCAGTTCCTTTATTGTTGAGAGCCGCTTTGGGTCATTTATTGCGTACCCAGTGGAATCATCTGTCACATGAGCTACCGCTGCAGCTCTAGAATTGTGTGTCCATACCTCTGCATTTACCACATTACAATGAAGGTCCGTAAGAACAGCACAGACTTCAGACAACAAACCGGGCCTATCAGTACCGGCTAGTTCAATGGAGGTGTGCTCTTCAGAAGGCTTCACCCCAACAGACTCTCCTCTCAACGGGGAGATAAAGAAGTCATCATTTTCAAGTGTCTGCAAAAATGAAGCATAACATGGGAAACAATGAGGTCTATTGAACCATTGGCTCAAGATATCGATATGTACTAAAGGAAATTTAATTTGTATGCAATTTTTCATTACGGAAAGACTGAAACTTAAAATGTACAAACACATACGTGGGAAGGCACAGGAAATATAGCAGCATGCCAGTTGCACTTCAACAAGGTGAATTTACCAAAAAGCTTAAAAGATTTCAGATGTGCTACAAAAAATCAATCATCAAATAATGAAGCAATCTCCCTCTAGGTTGCTCTGTTTCATTCTTTTCTTCATCACTTATTAAAGGAAGTTACGGGCCTGTGTTGGTCATATTCAACTACATAGAAGCACCTAATTGACAATGTTTAGCCTCTCCAGTTTGCGAATTACTTTATTTATGCTATCTAAATTGAGGTGCTTAATTGTAATAGAATTACAAAAGTGTAGATACCTTCTGGATGTAATTGATGACCCCTTCATCTCTAATTTTATTCCCATCTTGGTCAACCACATTAAACACTGAAACATCAAATTTTGAAGAAGAAACAATATAAGAAACAAAAGGGGTGAAGCACATAATTTTTTTTCGAATTTGCTTGTGACAGTTAAAGAAGAGAGACTGTACCATCCATGAACCAACCCCCATCAGATGAGATATACGCCTTCCTAATAACGAGGTTCAAATCAGTAAGAACTTGGACAACTTCCAGGAGAATCCCATGCTTGTTGACACTATCAACCTAAATAAGATACACCATCTATAATGAGAAAGTAGAAAAGCAAATAGACCAACCAAAGCAAAACCAGATAATTTTCAACCCCAATTTTTAGAAACCTTGCTAACCATATCATCGGATAGCGAAGGCATGGGTCATACCTGGATAACAGTTGCATCCTTGCAAGCATTATTGTCAATTACAACTCTGCAACAACAAGAGGCAACTCAGTTGAAGAACTACCCACATCCTCTCTCTCTCACACAGAAATCCAAAGATGAGGAAAATCAGATAGTAAAAACCAGTTAAGGTTCCTGAAAAGAGGTAAAATTCAATAAACTTTGAAGCACAGAAGTCGCTTTGAGATCAAACCACAACTTTGCATATTAACCAAAATGATTTAAAAAGAGAAAAGGAAAAGGGAAAGATGGAAGGAAAAAAAAAAAAAAACCCATAAATGGAAATTAAAATTTATGAAATTTTCAATGTAGAAAATCTGCAGATTATCCAGAAAAGAGAGAGAAATCCCACATGAAGAAGAAAAAAAAAGCCATAAAAAATCTTCAAAAAAGAAAGGGAAAAAAAAAAATAGAGAAGAAAAAGAAAGCAAAAAAAAACCTCTATATATAAAAATACACGATTTGTCATACATGAAAACCACAAAACATGTGAAACCTCAATCCTAGCAATTTAATTAATAATTATAGATAATAAATTGAACATTATATTACATCACAAACCCATAAAAATCTTTTGCCATAGCTATGTATAAATAAAAACATAAAATCAATAAAGGCTGATAAATTGGAAACAAAAAACTTGGGAGAACATATAATTTTAAAGGGAAGTAGTTTCCAAAAGCTCCCTTTTCACTTCCATATCAAATTTGAATCATCAATCCAACGTGGTCTCCGGAAACCCCGAAAACCAAAACACAAAACACAAAACACAAAACACAAAAAAAGAAGACGACTTCAGGGAAATTGATCGATTGAGCTCCAAGAAAAATAATAAAAAGAGAAAAAGATGTAGCATGAGTACCTGGGTGGGTTCATCCTCCTGATAAGCTTAGCATACTCGTCATCCATTTTTCTGTAAAAATTTCTCAGAATTCCCCCCAAACAAAGCCGGTAACTTTCAAGAAGAGAAAGATGAGAACTAATTGAATAATACACAACCCAAAACTTGCATATTTGTGTCTGTACAAATTGCAGACACAAATACAGAACAAATAATACCTCCAATATCTAAGGAAGGAACAATAACAGAACAAAAAATATTTCAAGGAGAGGAGGAGAGAGAGAGAGAGAGGATAAAAAGTAGTAAAGTAAGGCGGTGGCAGTTAATCAAGCTAAAAGGAGGGGGTTATTAAGGCTGTTTAGAACAAACACAAATATAGATTAATTTGTCCCAAAAAGGCAGCGTACGCAATTGATATGTGACGTGGCCATACGTGATTGGGATTAGAGACGGTTACAACATTTACTTCGGACCCATGGTATGCTGCCCCCCACCCAGTCTAGGCTGTGGTGTGAGCGAGTGAGCGAGAATTGGATTGAGTTGAGAGTACTGAGGTGGGTGTGTTGACCTTCTGCTTCCCTCTCCTCTCTCACTTTTTCATTATTTTTTTGTTACGCGCATTAGGATGAGAGAGATAAAAAAATAAAAAAAATAAATAAAAACGCCGTACTATGAGCGAGAATTTAGAGAGTACGTGATTCATATGGGGACACATCATTGTATTTGATTTGAATTTTTTGAATTAAATTTTTTGAAAATTGAATTTTTTTATTTTTAGTGAATATTTTTAAAATTTTAAAGATTTTTTTTTATTTTTTTAGATGCACCTTACTTAGATGTATCTAAAAAATAAAAAATTTGTGAAAAAATATTTTTAAAAATTAATAAATACATAAAAATATAAACAATGTACTTAATTCTTGTATTTTTTCTGTATTTTTGGTATTTAGTGAATTTTTAAAAGATTTTTTTCAATTCTTTTTTACTTTTTAGATATATTTATGTTAAGTATAACTAAAAATTAAAAAAATTGTTCAAAATATTAAAAAAAATCAATAAAAACTAAAAAACACGGAAAATAATAAAATAAAATTTTCTGAAAAGTATTTTTAAAAAATGATAACTAAGTAAGGTGAATAATATTATAATTGCTTAAAGAGATTAAATTTACGAATTTATATTAAATAAGTGGGAAATATAAATGAATAGAATAATAATAAAAAGTATAAAAAGAATATTATGAAATATTTGATAAAAATTTTAACTTTTGATTAGTATATAATGTTTTATTATATTTGTAATCTAAAGATAAAGAATTTTTTATGATCATTTTTATAATATTTTTTTTAATAATTTCTAACATTATTCAAAGGAACATAATAAATTATAATTAAGGTTGTTTTGAAAAGTAGGTTAAATATTAATTTTTTAGTTTTTTAGTTTTTTTAAAAAAATATATAAAAAAATTAAAAAATAATATGATAAAAAAATAAAAATCAAAAAACTACTTTTAACATCATTCTCAAAAAGGCCTTAATATAAAATATGATTACGAGTAATAATTTTTCCGTGATTAGCAAAATAGAGGGGTAGGTGACGTGTTGTCACCAGCTTAGTCGGAGCTTTTTGCCAGGCATTTTGGCCGGCAATTCCAGCGTGACCGACATACGACCGTATATTTTTATATATACCTCTATTAATGGAAGTAACTACTATTCTTTAAACTGGATAAGGAATTCGTAAAATTTGTAATTTGATCTAATTGAGTCTAATTTATTAAGTTTTGATTGATTTTTTGAATTCGTTGTTTGGTTCCGGATTAAAAATTTAAAAACCCGTAGCTCACGGATTGATTCTGAATTGAATTCCACGATTCCATATTGGAACCCTATGTTTGTTTTCAATATTTTAAAAACACTTTTTAAAAAAATTTACTTCTTATTTTCAATATTTTTTATTTTTACTAAATTATTTTAATACTTTAAGTATTTTTTTTTTAATTTTTAAACACACTTAAAATAAATACATTTAAAAAGTATATAATTTTTGTGAATAATTTTTGTAAAAAAAAATCTTTAAAATATCACTAAATACCAAAAATATAAAAAAAAAAAATTATGAAAATTCAGTACATTTTTCAGATTTTTGTGTATTTATTAATTTTTTAAAATATTTTTTCACAAATATTTTATTATTTAGATAAATTTATTAAAAAAAAAAAAAAAAAAAAAAAAAAAAAAAAAAATTAGAAGAAAAAAAAAAGAAAAAAAAAAGAAACATGTTTACATAATTGGGGGTGTTTGTATTTTGTGTTTTTGAAAAAACTAACCAAACGGATTTCTGAGAATTTGTTTTGAAAAGTGATCCTGGAAAAAGACAACCAAACACATTTCTGAGAATTTTTTTGAGAAAATCTGTTTGGTTTGATTACTCCCAGAAATGTGTTTTCAGAGAAGATTTCAGAAATTTGTTTCTGAGATACAAACCAAACAAGCACACTGAATTTTTTTGGGAAAATTTGATTTTTTTTAGTAGTATAATTATTACACTTTAAAAATAATAATTTTCTAAAATTATCCTTTGATAGTATATTTTTTGAAAAATATCAATTGTCATAATTATACTTTTTGTGTTGTTAATGAATTTAAAAGAAGTGCAAAATATAAAATTTATATATTTTAGTTCTTGATTTTTGAAAAAAGACTAATAATTTGGGACAATAAAAAATAAAATAAAAGACTAATATTTTGAGACGGAATAAATATTTAACCGTCCTTTTTATAGTTATAATTATTAAAATCTTATTATTTAGCACTCATTGAAAATATTATCAGTGTGTTGGTTTGAGTTTTAAGGATTAAATTTTTTAAAAATTGAGTTTTTTGTTTTTTGTGTTTTTTGTTTTTAGTGAATATTTTTAAAATTTTAAACATTTTTTTTAGTTTTTTAGATGCACCTTACTTAGATGTATTTAAAAAGTAAAAAATTTGTGAAAAAATATTTTAAAAAATTATTAAATACATAAAAATATGAAAAATATATTAAATTCTCGTATTTTTTTTGTATTTTTGGTATTTAGTGAATTTTTAAAAGGTTTTTTTCACAATTTTTTTACTTTTTAGGCATATTTATATTAGGTATATCTAAAAATTAAAAAAATTACTTAAAATATTAAAAAAATTCATTAAAAACAAAAAAATACGAAAAATAAGAAAGTAGAATTTTCTGAAAACTATTTTCAGAAAAACGAAACCAAACAATTTATATATATTTTTTTATATTACAGACAAAGTAGTAACATTTTTTTAAGTCAAATTTTTTAATTTACTCCATATAAAAAAATAAAAATTTATTACTTAAAATTTTGCACTTTTAGTAAAGTCTATACTCATATGGTTAAGTGGCATTTGGTTGGCAATTTGTTAAGGTTTAGAATTTGATTTCACAATTATTATAATTGTTGTATTTATTGTACATTTGCAGTTATGCATTATTATAATTTTTAATAACTAGTTAAAAATTCAATATATGGTGTAGGAAAATATTAATAGCTATTCACTATTCACTATTTTTTTTTTGTTTTTTGGATGGATAATAGCTACTCACTTTGAAAATTTACAAAAATATATAAGTATTCAATAATACAAGAGAAATGTATTGGGATTGTAACTATTTTAAAATTTTATTTTTCTTAATTATTGTCCTATTTGTTGTCACTAAAATGATCCATATTTATAATTATTTTCTTGTGGTTAACAAAAAAAATCTTTAAATCTCTCAAACCAATCAATTCTCTATTTAGTTTTCTATTATTTCAAATTCTTCATTAGTTTTTCACTATGAAATTAGGAGTTCAAATTTCAAATTATTTTGATGGAGCAAAAAATTATTATATAATTTCTTGTCAAAATTTTTATTTTCTCTTTGTTGATAGAATAATATAAATAAACTCAAAATTTTATGTACACTTAATGTTATAATATTTTAATAAAATAAATTATGTTTTGTTTTTTATTTAAATAATGTTTTATTATAAAAAATCAAATCAAATATTCTTTTTAATGTTCCTAATCAATTTTGAGTTACAAACTTTAAATTTATATAAATATTGAATTAAATTGTGGAGTTATAGAAATTTATTTTATAATACCGTTAGTATTAAAAAGGAGATTTTCAGTTGTGAGATCTATACCATTTTGTATATATTTATATACATTAATTCTTTCAGTTTGTGATCATTCTATGTAATACTCTTTATTTTTATATTTATTACATTACAATTGCCTTTTGTTTGGTGTAAAATCTGGAGCTTCGTACTCGAATATGAGAAGTGATTTATAAGTCAATTTATTAATTTTTTAATTTATTTGAATTATATTATCTCTTTATTTTTTATACGTCTATTTATAATAAATAAAAAATCAATTTATTTAACGTTTTTTTTCAGTTGTGAGATCTATATCTATACCATTATGTATATATTTATATACATTAATTCTTTCAGTTTGTGATCATTCTATGTAATACTCTTTATTTTTATATTTATTACATTACAATTGCCTCTTGTTTGGTGTAAAATCTGGAGCTTCATACTCGAATATGGAAGTGATTTATAAGTCAATTTATTAATTTTTTAACTTATTTGAATTATATTATCTCTTTATTTTTTATACGTCTATTTATAATAAATAAAAAATCAATTTATTTAACGTTTTTCAAGTAAGCTATTGGATGAGTAGAGGATACACACAGAATAGCCAACTTTCAAAACTTAACCGTTTGCTTCCAAATCAGTCCTATCCTACCCACAAGTTTTATAACAGAAACTCATATACACAAATGCATATATTATTTTGGGCAATTCGATTCGTGCTTTGATTCAAATCTTCTGGTGTTCGTGAGTATTAGAAGAGGACTGCTGTGAGTGCTTTTAGATTTTTTATCTTGGAAATGTTGGACTCCACTAACACCTTCACAAAGGGCAAAAAAAAAAATAGTTTTAGAACAATGACAGCATAACTCTCAAAGTCTCACAGATTATTTCAAAATGAAAAATAATATACAAGTCTACCTTTTAAACCTATTTTCTAGAGTTGATGATGTATAAGTAATGTAATTGGTTGATAATTGAGAAGATATGAGAAAATATTACCTTAGATATCCTAACTGATTGTCACATCATTAAATTTAAAAAATAGAGTATAATTTTTAGACTTGTATAACAATACCTTTTCAGAATTCTAATCTTTCTATTCTTATATATTGTTTTGTTAGCTAATATGTTTATTTATTCGCTTTATATAATCTTGAATCACATGTTAATTAGTTTAATTTTCTGTCATTTTATTT